AAAATATACATAATAATGTATTGTGCTATACATGTCACAACAGTCAATCTGTGTAAGATCCTACAGAAAAAGAGAAAGAGAGAGAGAGCTCAAAGTTATTATTATAATGTTTATGAGAATTATATTACTTTCTTAGTTTAATGGTCGTTTATTGTAACTAATTACAAGATATCACTGACTATAAAGAAGCATTTAGAACCTTAAAACAATTTTGTGTCTTCAATGTTTTGTTTGATGAAAGATATGCGACTATCAATCCTGGGGATATGAAATGAACAGTCACACTTGCGCGATTTTGCTTACAACTTAATAACTTTTTTATATGTAGACATATATATAAGAATAATATATTTTTTCTTTTATTTTTAAAAATTGTATCTATGTAAAAATGTGCACAATATTACAAAATATTGTATACATATATTCTTTTTATCAATATGTATAAAAAGTGTGACCTGTTATCCCCCGCATCTTATTTTGCTACAAGCATTTAACAAAATCAGTGACGATCGATGAGATACGATTTAGGAGGCCGATATGATTTTGGCAACTCTCCCCTATCCCGCAAGAATCAAAACGCCAAGCTCTACTGGGCTAGCCGACGTAAGCGAATTGTAATAATTCAGTCCGTCGAGATTATCACCTCTAAAGGAACCGTCCGTTTGTGTGGGACTATCTTTCATCAAAGATTCAATGTCTCCTAAGTGCCAGGCGTAAAAGCTAAGTGTAGTCGGGAGAGAATCCAATATCACAGTGATCCAAGCGTTGTCTCTCCTATTCGGTGCCTCGTCGCGCCGTGGCGGTGGTAGTATTATCCCCCGTGTAGAGAAAGAGAGAGAGAGAGAGAGAGAGAGAGAGAGAGAGAGGGACGGGCAGGGGGAGGGGGCGAATCGATCGGTATTTTTATTCGCGAGCTCACGCCCCGACGCACCGCGTGTGGTACGTACGCGCGTACTCGTGACGCCGTTCCTATTAGCACGCTTTAATTCTTCCGCAAAACATCGTCGTGCTGAAGCTTTTTATATAATCCAGCTTTATGACGCAATGTACCGCCGTACGCGCGCGCGCGGATGCGTCTGTACGCGTACTCACCGACGTGTGACGTCACGTTCGTCGGTCTCCCCGTGGGAGCTATCGGTGTAACTGAAAACAGCTATTTTTACGAAAATGGAAAGCGCGTGCGCTCGTTTCGTTCTGATCGCCGGCGGAAATATAGGGCGAATAAGGAGGAGGAACACATGCATGCACTACACACGTAATATACACAGTGCTACGAATGTCAGGCCGAAGAAAATCACGTTGCGCTACACGTTTCAAAGTTCAGCCCGGTGACCGGTCGCGCACTCATAGATTTCGCCGTGCAGCATTCAACGCTGAATATTCCCGTCGGAATTCGCATCACATTGAACAAATTACGACGAGCAAACAGAATTCGGAACTGAACGGTTGTATTTATCATCAAACACGCAGAAAATGTAAATCATTAACAGACGTGCCATTATACGTTATTAATCTCTCATCTATAATGTTAACATGATTGCAACATACTGCCCTTTTCCATTTAGCTGTTATTGAACTCGCAAATGCAATCTTCCTGCACCAATTCATTTTATTTCTGAAACAGCACATGAAGCGTGTACAGGAAATACACTTGTTAATAATTATTGATAATGTATTTTATAAATTATTTTAAGGGCTTTAAACGATAAATCTAGAATTTAACAGAAAAATGACAAATCTTTTGTATCAACTTATTCACAGCATATACAGAGTGTCCAGTAACTCAAGGAGGAGCCGCGGTATACAGATAGATTAGATTAAACTGGACAAAAAATTCCTCTACCATTTTGCGAACAACGTAAAATTCGAAGTTATTAATCAAATAAAATTTAACAAAGAATGATCACGTGCCATACGGTAGATGAGCTGTAATGACGTCGACTGTATACTTACACATTAACTCAAATTAAACAAAAAGTTCTTTATTATTTTAATTAAATCGTTATGTAAATGTTTAAATATTAATTAAAGAAGATTAGTGCATTATTGTGCACAACTGTACACCAATCTTTTTTAATTAATAACTAAACATGATCATTTGGAAAATGGTAGAGAACTTTTTTGTTCAGTTTGTTTAATAATTATAATTCAATAATTATAATTATTATTACATATTAGATTAGGCATTTTTATGTAGTATTTTTTATTTTTTACTTTTAGGTATTTTTAGATAGATATTATTACATAGTACTACACGATAAAACGACTTACAATTTATATATGTTACATAAAAAATGTTATTTATAAAAATACTTGAAAATTATAGTACTGGAAAGATCAACAATCAAAAGATGCACGAGAGAAAATTACGACGATGAAATAATTTACGACTTATACAAGATGTCTAGTAACTTACAGAGGAGCTGCGATATACAAGTAAATTACGTCAAAATAAACAAAAATTTTCTTCATCATTTTGCGAACAACGTAAAATTCTATTATTAATTAAAAAAGAATCGTGAATGATTACGCGCCATATGGTAGATGAACTCTGATAGCGACATCTGCCGCTATATGCATGTGTATTAAGTCAAACTGAACAAACAAATCGTCTACCATTTTCCAAATGACCACGTACATGTTTAGTTATTAATTAAAAAAGATTGGTGTACAGTTGTGCACAATAATACACAACGTGTGAGCTAATGTGTAAGTATACAATGGTCGACGTCGCCATCACAGCTCATCTACCGTATGGCGCGTGATCATTTATAAATTTTATTTGATTAATAACTTAGAATTTTACTGTTGTTCGCAAAATGGTAGAGGCATTTTTCATTCAGTTGGACTTAATCTATTTGTACGCTCCTCCGTGAGTTACTGGACATCCTGTATATGCTGTGTATAAGTTAACACAAAAAATTTGTAATTTTTTTATCAAATTCTGGCTCAGAGGACATGTAAGCATTAAAAGAAAAATAGGAAGTCCTCGTTAGATGTCTAAGAAAAGAAAAAAAATGCAAAGTCATTGTTCATTTTATTTGCAAAAATAATTAATCCTTCGAATAATTTCCTTCTTTGTTTTATTTGGTAAACACGACAAATCTTTTGCACCACACTGTTAAATCCGTAGTGTCAAATTATACTCAATTTGAGTTATTTTTAACCATTCCTATAAGTCGCCACTGCTCCTACTAAATATGTCGTTAATTTAACTAATGTAATGGAGTTAAATAATTTAACTTAAGAAATGTATCAAATTTGACTAAAATTTAGTTTATTTTTTATTATGTGCACGTTAATGTAACCTTTGTTTTAGTAAAAAATAACTTAATATTGTGGTTTAAATGATTGATTAAATGTGGTTGTTTTTTTAAACACATATTTTGTGTTAAAATAGTAAATTTTGACACACATGATAGTTAAAAATAACTAAATATTATTTAACACAAGAAATTGGTTTAAATTTGACCCTCCAATATTTAACAGTGCAGCCTAATATATTTCGCATCTACCATCGGCTATCAATTTTCAAGAACAGCCACCGCCACGGCGCCCTTCGAGAGCAAAGGGTTAGCAGTCACGACGGGTCGAACCGATCTTCCGTGCGACGCGATCGCTCGTACACGTGACAGGATTCCGCTCCGATTTTCGCGGGATTCGAGTCTCTCGAGGAAGCGAAGAGTCCTCGCGCGATCCTACGAACCCGCGTGTCTACGTAAGCGAGTATAGTTATATCCGCAAGCGTGATTATGCACGGGGCTTACCTGCCTACGTGCATTTATTTTCCGCGGCAGTAGCTCGTTTCATCACGCTTGCTTTCTTCCGAGCGCGATGCCTAGCGTCGTTGGCTGACTGGCTGGCTGGCTGGCTGGCTGGTTGGCG